TAATAATAACCTTTTTGAAAATTGGGGTGTTACAGTACTGGGTTGGGTGACCTTCTGGGAAGTCTCCCAGAAATTGCACAAGTAAGAATAAAACACGCTAAACAGTGAAATATTGTGAAATAGAACCCTTGAGAGACCAAATATGAGAGTTGTTACATTAATAAATTTATTAAAATTAAAAAAAATTTATAATTTCTGACGAATTTTTCCGTCGGAAAATTTGACAGCAATTTCTAACGGATTTTTCCGTCAGAAATTTTGACAGCAATTTTTGACGGATTTTTCCGTCAGAAATTTCTGACGGAATTTTCCGACGGAATTTTCTGTCAAAAAATTCCGTCGAAAATAATATTTTCGACGGATTTTTTTTTCCGTCGCCACTTTTTCTGACAGATTGAAATCCGTCAGAAATTCGTCGGAAAAAGCAAAATCCGTCGGAAATTTACCTATTTCCGTCAGAAATTTCCGTCGGAAATCATCATTTTTCTTGTAGTGCTCCTAGCCATTGGCCTAGTGATAGGTCCCACATGAAGCTCCAAGGATGATCCTCCATCAATATTTGCATACTATTATCTCTCAAATTTTACTATTGTTTTGCTCATTATCTTTTATATTTCTAATATAAAAGTGATCAACATTATGTTCATAATATTTGTGAATCTTTCTATTTCAAGCTTTTACTAGGATAGGATAAATCATAAGTATCTTACAAGTCCCTAAGGTTCGACAACCTATATTTAACTTCTATATTACAATGACTTTGTGCACTTGCCATAAAAACTCATCAATGTAATTCATGTTTAAGTTGAGAAACATAAAAACTATAGGAGAGTAAAGTTGTTACAAAAATTAAAATATCCATTTGCATGGATATAAGTTGTTGTGCTTAGAGAGACCAAAGTTAAAGACCATTCAATGAGTGAGTTGCCTCTTGAATGAGGAGTTATTTTTAAGTTGTCTCCTCTAGGTTTTATGTGAAAAAGTCGTGAGTCAAGTCGAGTTATACTGATTAAAAAAATAACAAATGTAAAAATCATATGGGGGTTAAGTTGAGCGATGTGTTATAAGCGACCAAACTTATCCTTATTTTTCTATATTGTTGGACTGCTACGATCTACTTATTATAGGAGTAGGACATAATTAGGTTGGAGGGCATACTTGGTGGATGACCATGCTGGTGATGGACTTATTTTTTTGAGTTGTGTTGCTATAACATGTTTTTAGAGATGTTTGATCAGTGTTAGGACTTTGTGTTTTAGTATTTTATGCTACATGTCTAGTTGTATATATATAAGGTTTAATTGTAACCTCATAAGGAAATTATGCTTTTAAAGTTAAAATTGACAGAGACTCTTTTATGTTTTCTACACCTTGTATATATATATGTTGCATTGATGTCCAGGTATTGTTGAATGATAATTAGATTTATAGATTCTTTATGTTTTCTCCTGCGTTGTTATCATATTGTATTAAGTATAGTAATATGGCAAGTCATTACAACTTAATTAAAAATGTTTTATATTTTTACATGTGTATATTTTTATTATTTTAATCATATAATTAATTATATAATTAAATTTTTTTGATATATTAATATATTTTAACCATATAATTATTATAATAAAAAATGATAATTATTTGTATATCATAAATTTTAATTACCATGAAATATATTATAATTAATTGTTGATTGATTCTTTCATAATATTATTTATAAAATTATTAAATTTATTTATTGCACCGTAAATATCTGAATCTTTGTGAACATGACACGAGTCAACTAATCTTCTATTGGGAATGTAACATGTGTTATATGAATCTTTGTGAATAACACATCATCCAAACCTATGTGAATATGATGTGTGATCTAACCCTCTATGAATGTGACACATGTTATTATGGACATGTTTGTGAATTTACAAATGTAGTATTATGTGATATAATATGGTATGATGCAGAATAAAAGTATGTTTGGACAACTTATAATCTCCCATTTCTGTTTTTGTTTAGAAAAGTTGTTTGCAAAAAAAGAAGAAAAAAAAAAGTTGTATATTTGGGACAATTACTTGAATTTTGAAAAAATATTTTTCTTAAAAATAAGCAATTTTTATGAAAATGAAATTTGAAACTTATGGTTATTTTTCAATAGTTTTTTTAAAGTTGATTTAGTACATAAAAACTTATTATTTGGTGTATCCAACAAAATTAAATGTCTTAAAATTAATTTTCATCAAATTTACTCAAACAAAAATATATTATAATTATAATTAATTATAACAATAATCAATTATTCATATAATTAATTATTCAAATCATTTAATTTTATCAGTTTTTTCAAACACACCCTAAATGATGACATATTAAATTATTGAATATTTTTGTCATCTGACACTAAAAGTAAAGTTTAGGTCGTTATAATTTCATAAATATTATCTTTTATTTTTTCTACAGTTAAGAAATGTCTCATTTTAACTTTTATATATATTTATTTTAGTCCATGTTGTCGTATATTATTACAAGGATGAAATGATAAAATTTTTAAAAATATTGAAGCTAAAATAAAATAAAATAACAGCAAATATAAAAATTAAAATAAAATATTTCTAATTAAAAAATTAAAGAAAAAAATTTATAAAACTATAACAATTAAAAGGGTAATTTAACCGATCTAAAATTATTAGATGCAAGAATCAAATGTAACCTTCACAAACAAGGTGCTTCTATCGTAAAATAAAAAGATGTTTTTATAGGAAAATCAAATCATTACACTTGCAATATGTTTAGGAATGAAGTTTTAAAAATAAAAGGGCCAGAAACAATTTACAATTTTTACTGTTCACTTTTTTCAATAAAATACCCATTTCCACTTTTCTTTTTTTCTTCAAAACTCCACTCTTGAACTTTATTTAGAAAAATAATTAGATAGATGGTTACTATTAGTTTGACTTTAACCTTAGAAAATTTGGCCATTCTCTAGACATGATTATAAGGACAAGAGTTTTTGTTTTTTAGACTTTTTTCAAAAACCCGTTTTCCAATCTCATTCTTAAACAAGAATATTCAATAAACTGAGTGAAAAAGAATTCAGTGAAAGTTCAGGAATTCTTTTCACGAATTCTTTTCACCACTTTTTTCATTCTTCTTCCTATTTAGATAAACTTCTGCTAAATATTTTTAAGAATCAAAAATAGAAATAGAAAATGAAATATACTTCTTTATAGACTAAAATTAATTTATCTATTAATTAATTTACAGAAGCTCTCACATGTTAACTTCTTTTTTTTTTTTTTTTTAAATTAATCTATGTATAATTTAATTTTAATTTATAAAAAATTATTTTATTCTATTTGTACTTTCTCTCTCTTAAAAGTGTATATAGAAATTCAAACATACCCTAATTCTTAGCCGAAAGTATAGTGAAATTAAAAGTCACGAGTATATGGATATCATATCTTTATGGAGGCAGGTAGTGCATGCCAACTGCAAAATTTAAACAAATAACACTGTCACATGCTTGTTGAGACAGCATATGATACCATGTGGAACAAAATTGTAAAAGTGTTCAAGACTATAGGCCTATTTCTTTTATACTAATACAAGTAATTTTGTTAATTAATTTTATTGAATTTATAAAATTAAATTATAATTTATTAATTTTATCCTTCTTGTTTATCATTAAACTTTCATGAAACTTATGTATCAATACTAAAAATATTGATAAATGTCAATCGAAAAAAATTAATACATATTTTTATAATCTTTAATAATAACAAAAAGAAGAATCTTTTTTAATATTTTCTAAAAATTTTATAAAAAAGATTAAAAAAAATTCTAAACTATGCCTTATAATAAAGACCAGAAAAAAATACATGATATAATCTGTACTTGGTATTAGTACTTTTGAAAGTGTGTTTCATATATCTCAAAATATATATATATATGTATATAGCTATTGGAACAGTTAACATTGGTCTCAAAAAGAGGTTGAAATAATATACATAAAAATATTATATTCAAATCTTATTGATGCTATTGGGTTGGAAATTTGAGTAGTATGTAAAGGGTTTTATATTCAAACATGTTGTGGCCATTGTAATTTTTATGAATAAAAAAAAATTATGTGGATAATTGTGACACAGATCCCCCATTGATTGTATATACCTGCTTGTTTCGAAATAATTTGTTCCATAATTTTTCTTTGATTTGACATGAAAAGTATAGAGTAAGACTAACATGAACCACTCCACTAGTTATCTGCAGGTGTGGATGATGGAACCCCCATTCTCATCTCCATGACCTTTTTGTGTGAATTAGAATGCAAATGGCTTACAAAAGTAGGGCTCTTGGCTGGCCTATACTCTGGCAGCAACCTTCCAGACTTGTACCTCACACCACATGCATTGCATAGTGTCTTTGGCCCTAATGGTCCTGCCCTCCACTGTGGGGTCCTCTGAGCCAGACAATGTGTGCACCTTCTTGGAATTGGGTGCTCATCATTCCTAACCTCACCCTCAAAAAAATCCTCCAATTTCTCCTTCCTCACCACAATTTCTTCCTTCTTCTTCTTCTTGGGGACAATGAGTTCACTATCAGCCAACCAATAGGCTTGTTTCAAGAGAGGAGGGTCAGAACTCAGCCCTTCACTCAAGTGATGCTGTGACCATGTGGCTAAAGTGTCCTTTGTTCTAGGGGCTGAGAGCCTCTTCCTCTTGCTCCTGGCTTTCCCTGGCACAGTAAAATTCTGCAAAGGCTTTTGTTGGGGTCTTTGCACTGTGGTTGAAGGCTTGGTGCTGGTGCTGGTGCTTGTGGTTTCAACACAAGGGGGTGCCAAGAGGCAACTTGGCCTACTAGAGAAACAGTCTTCCACAAACACTGACAACCATTCCATGCCCAAATCCACTTCCTGCACAAAATTTTGGCACCCAAAAACAATGCTAAATTTAGTTTCAACAATCCACACAAGCCAGCATATACAACACTTGTATACACACCAACAAATATTAAAACTTTATATAGTATTTTCAAATTGTATATTTGTTAAGTACAAAACTTAAAGAGAGTTCCTTATGTTATGGTTGTCCTTCTCTTATATCATAATTCAAGTTTCATTTTTAATAATTTCAGAAATCCTTGGATTCAAACCTTTATTAAAAAACTTGGTGTACAATAGTCACCCTAGTTTAAACATAGTACCATGTCAACAAGTTTTGATCTGATTAATATCAGACTCTGTCCTATTAAACAAAGTTTTAGATTAATTTTGTGTATAAAATAATTGTGGTTGGAAGGAGAATCTCACTATAAATATTCAGCAAGTTATTTTACAGATATTCACAATGAACAAAGTTGTTGAATATATTTAGTAACAATTACATGGTTACAAAAATTAAAAAAAAATTATTACCTCATGGATACTGATCTAATTTTCACTCTACACGACTCTCCCCATCGCAAATCTTTATTAAATGAAACTCAAATTCTAATGAAAAATCAACACAAACAAAAAACACTTAAAGAAAATATATATAAATTGTGTCCATTTCTTTTATATATTTACATACAAAAAAAAAAAATCCCTTCATCATCACTAAACAAAATTAGCTAGAAGGGGGGTGGGGGTTCTTCAAGAAAAACCCATGTGGTAGAAGTTTCCAAGAAGTAGCAAAGCAAGAAACTTTTGGCAAACGAGTATCAAAAACAGAAAAACAGAATGAATAGGCCAAAACACACACTAACCATGTTCTGATGAGAGAAAAGGTCATCAAGGGTGGGAAGCTCTTGGTGGCACTCGCTGGAAACTGATACATTTCTGCAAACATCCATGTCCATGAGCAAAGAGAGTGAAACTGAGAAGAAGAAGAAGAAAAAAAAAAAAAGAAGAAAAAGAAAGAGAAAGGTAAGCTTGAGTTTAGTGTTACATGTCACACAACTCAACACTGTCTCAGTGCTCACTCATTCTCTCTATCTTTAAGGCCCTCAGAGCTTTTGTCGGCAGATAAAAGCTACTCTAACAAAGCAAATTTTCAAAAAATCAATCCGTGAGAAAGTTAACATCCCTGCCTCATGCACACACTCACCAATCAACATCTTTCGTTTTACATTAACATGTTTACCCCTCAACATCAATTATCTTTATCTATGCTATGTTATGCCCCCTTTATTACTCTCTGTCTTCTTCCTTTTGTCATGTAATAATCATACAGAGTATACTAATTGTTTTAATGTGACTGTGATAGTAAAATATTTTTCAAGGTCTTTGTCCAAATTTTTCTCTTTTCTTTTGGGTTAAATGTAAAAGAGAGGAATTGATTTGCTGAACAGTTGCATTGCATGGTTGTTTTTCTGTCGGTACAGCATCTCTCGTAAGTCTTAATCTTAACACAATCTTTTTAACCCAAATTATTATTATCAATCCAAATTTATTAAAAACAATAAATTTAAATAAGATTTATTAAATTAAAAATAGTATTATTAAAAAAATTTAATTAATATAGACTATGTAACTAGCATGCTATAAAAGTTGTCTTATTTTTTACCTTTCAAGGTAATTCGTATTTCTAGAGAAAATTAATAATAATTACACTAATTATTTAAAAAGAATAATTTTCTCCAACAAAAAATTAACTTTCAACTTCTATATATTAAACATAAATCATTATAGGAAAAAAAAATTCTACAAAAGAGTTTATAGAAATATTTTTAACTTTTTATCTAATTCAATTTTTATTTATTATAACTATTTATAAATTATATATTAATATTTTAAAATAAATTATCAATAAAAAATCATGTTAAAACATAA